CCCCCCCCCACTCGCCGGGACCTCTGCCCTCAAAGGCACGAGGGACAGCCAGCCATAGGTGTGGTGCTGGGAAAGGGGGGGCCTGGCCCTGTGTGCGTCCGTCACGGTTCTCGGGGGAAAGTGTCACCAGGATATGTGGATGTGGGGAAAGAGCTGTGGTATAAAGAGTTGGCTGACCAACCGGGTGACCAGGCCAGTGGGTCCCCTGCAGGGTGAGGGGGCAGGCTCAGGACCCAAGAGCCAGTGTTTCAGTCTGAATCCAAAGACAGGAACGATGTTCTCTCACTCAGAGAGTCAGCCTTTTTGTTCTCTTCGGGCCTTTGGCTGATTAGGTGAGGCCCACCACATTAGGGAGGATCCTCTCTCTCCTCCCTGTGCTCAAATATCACGTCTCACTCACAGACACCCAGAGTAATGTCTGACTAAATATCTGGGCACCCCGTGACTTCGTCAAGCGGACACATAAAATTAACCGTCTCAAAAACCCTCTCTGCGGTTTGCACAGCGCGGTGGGAAGGGGCTGGTGTTCATTTAGGCCTGAGAGAAAGGCAGGGGTTTGAAGACAGGCCGGGGGTGTAGTTCACAGGTGTGGGAGATGTTGGAACTTCTCGCCAAACTCAAGCATCGGGCGCCCAGGGGGACGCTCGGATTGCTTGCTTAGTGAAACCTGGGGCGTCCGGCCGGGCAGACACGGGGCGGAGAAGCCAGCTTCGCCCAGGCGTCTCGTGTCAGAAGACCGCACGTGGTGTTGGGCCCGCGTGGACCTCGGGCGGCTCCAGGGCAGGGCCTCCGGGGCGCAGCCGCCTCTCACGGACTCCGCGCGGAGACCCCTTTACACCTGCTGTCTTGTTCCTCCGCAGACCACAGCAACGGCAAGTCCAGTCAGAGGCAGACGGTGTTCGGGGTCGTCACTGCCATCGACTTGCTGAACTTCGTGGCCGCTCGGGAGCGCGACCGGAAGACCAAGTCAGGAAGCACCTCGGAGCCCAGACCTGCGGGGGCCACGGTACAGCTCTGACCGTGCCCACGCCTCGCCGGGGTCCGTGCTCTACCTTTTGTAAACACAGAATACACACGCGTGATTTGTAACTGCCTGACGCTGGGCGTTGTTGTCAGGAGCGGGTAGCAAGCAGCGGGTGTAGGATGCTTAGCCCGGGGCCAGTGTGGACGCTAGCTTCCCTTTTACTAACACCTGGCCGCCTCGGTGAATCCGCTTACGGTTTATTGGAGTAGATGTGTGTTTCTTTCCCTTTCTTCTAAAACGGCTCAGCAAGAAAATCTTATCAAACAGGATACAGCCAGGTGGGTGAGCCCTCGTGGCAAATGACCAGAGCAGGGTGGATAAAAGTGGAGGAAAGTGCTCTTCTGGAGAAGAGCCTACGATGGGGAGCAGCAGAAAGGCGGCTAGGGAAGGATGGGCCTGTTTGGAGCCCTCACACGGAGGTGCTGTCTCCTGGGTACCGGGGCTGGTTACAGTGACTTCAGTGTTTGGGGGTTTCTTAATTGAGGTGAAATTCGCATAACCTTAAATGAACGATTTAAAAGTGTAAGTTTTTGGGGCGCCTGGGTGGCTCAGTCGGTTGAGCGTCCAACTTCGGCTCAGGTCACGATCTCACGGTTTGTGGGTTCGAGCCCCGCGTCGGGCTCTGTGCTGACAGCTCGGAGCCCGGAGCCTGCTTCGGATTCTGTGTCTCCCTCTCTCTCTCTGCCCCTCCCTTGCTTGTGCTCTCTCAAAAATAACATTAAAAAAAAAAACTTAAAAAGTGTATGTTCTCAGTGTCGTGCAGCCACCGCCTCGTGTAGCCAAGTCCCATGCACTTCGCACCCCCCACTCCCCCCACATCCACCCCCTGGGTTTGTCTGTTGGGATGCGCCATATAAACAGAATCCTACAACCTGGCCTCTCGTCCGTCTGTGGCTTGTTTCGCTCAGCATCTGAAGTTCACCCACGCTGTAGCAGCTGTCAGTACATCATCCCTATTTATGACCAAATAACACCCCGTCGTGTGCACGGATCACGTTTTGTGTGTCCTTTCGACAGGTGGTGGACGTTTGGGTTGTTTCCACTTCTTAGCTGTTAGGAATTGTGCTGCCATGAACATGTGTGTCCAAGTATTTTGTTTAAAGGCCCGTTTTTAATTCTTTGGGTTATATGCACACGAGTGAAATTGCTGGGTCATGTGGTCATTCTGTTTCATTCTTTGAGGAGCCCCTAAACTGTTCCACAGTGGTTGTGCCGTTTCACATTCCCACCAGCTGTGCACAGAGACTCCGGTTTCTCCAGGTCCTTGTCCACACTGTTTTTCTCTGGGGCGGGGAGGGGGGGGGGGGGGGGGGGGGGGGAGGTGTGTGTGTGTGTGTGTCTGTTTTGCTTCATGATCATGGTGGGAGGAAGTGGTTTTGGTTTGCATTTCCCTGATGACAGTGATGTTGAGCATCTTTTTATGTGCTTTTTGGTCATTTGTGTGTCTTGTTTGGAGAAACGCCGATCCAAGTTCTTCGTCCATTTTTAAATTGGGTTGTCTTCTGTTGTCCAGTTGTAGGAGTTCTTCATATTTTCTAGATCCTTATCAGATACGTGATTTTTTTCCCATTCTGTGGACTATCTTTTCCCTTTCTTGCTAATGACTTTTAGTGCTTATTTTAAGTTTTGATGAAGTTTTTTTTTTCTTTTCTTGTACCTTTGGTGGCACATAATAAGACCCCCATTACCAAATCCAAGATCATGAAGTTTTACCCCTATCTTTTCTCCTGAGACTTCTATTGGTTTTAGCTGTTATTCTGGTAAATGACATTCAATGATCCATTTGGAGTTTTCATACATGGTGTGAGGTAGGGATCCGGCGTCCTGTTTTTAAATGTGGATTGGATACCCCGTTTGTTGAAGAGACATGGTCTCCCATTGAATGGTCTTGGTGCTCTTGTTGAAGATCAGTTGTCCGTAGATGTAAGTATTCATTTCTGGACTCCGTATTACTGGTTTCTATATCTCTCCTTATGCCAGTACCACACTATTTTGATGATTATGGCTTTATAGTAAGTTTTGAAATCAGGAACTAACTGTGGAGCCCTCCAGCTTTGTTCTTTTTCAGTATTTTGGAAATCGTGGTATATCTTGATATAGTTTTCTTCATGGTTCTTGTGCTTGGAATTCATTGAGCTTCTTGGATTCCAGTATTTGATTAGAAATAGTTCCAGGGAACAGGGAAGGAAATCGCCAGTGAAACAATTCACAAAGCTGTCCCAGAACAAAAGGTTGAGAGGGTCCACCTGCAAGGGACAGGGAAAGACCCATACGGGACATCACTGTGCAATGCTAGATCACCAAGGAAAGGATCCAAAAGCAGCTTCGGGAGGTGGGTGGGGAAACCCAAGTTACCCAGAGCCTCGGGAATGAGAAAAGCGCCTGACTTGATCTCTAGCAGGTGGAGGCCGGGAGGCGAGGGGGCAGAGCCTGAAAACATCTGGAACGGGAAGGCAGGCAGGCCACGCTCTCCTGTAACAGCAAACTGGCCCCCTGGCCCCAGAAAGCACTAGAAGATGTGCTCCGCCCAACAGGATCCTGAAGGGCACCCCCAGAACGGTGGGAAGGCAGGTCCCTGGCAAAGGGCTGGGCAGCCATGGGATGCAGCAGGACAGAGGGCTCCCGGCGATGCTCAGAGGGGGAGGGGACGTCACAGGCCTATAAACACTCGAGTCCCAGGCCTGGTAGGTAGAAAGTGGGGTTACATTAGTACCTAGAAAACACCACAAAAAGACCGTGTGAACGAAGGCTGGACATCTGACCCTTGAGCAGCACAGAGGTCAGGGATGCCAGCCCTTCTCCCCCTGCAGTAGAAATTCTGTCGCTTTTGTTCCTCAGAAACTTAACTGTGGGCAGCCTCCTACTGCCCAGTTGGTGCCCTCCTCCTGCATCACTTGCTGGTGATGCGTTAAATACGCTGTATTCTTATGCATATTCTGTTGGGCACACAAATGCCATAAATACTGTATTCTTACAGCAGACTAAGCTAGAGGGAAGAAGACGCTGGAACAGCAGGAAGAGAAGATACATGTACGGTATTTACAGTACTAGACTGTGGAGAAACATCCACGCGTGAGTGGCTCTCCGCAGTTTAAGCCTGTGTCCACGGGTCGGCTGTGGAAGAAATTCAGTCACAGTGCAGGATGCAACTAAGCTAGGAGGGAAGGCGGCTTAATTAAGGTCATGAAAGCCTGAACATCAATCTGTCCAGAAGTTATAAACTACATAGGAAGGACAGTTGTACTGGGGGGCAGGGCACGTAAGCTTCACCTTCCGATGTCACCAGTTAAATGAGCAGCACCATGAAGGCTTTGGAAATCCGTGGGCAGATCCCATGAGCAGCCGCTGGAGGCCCCGAACCTCTGGGTGGCCAGGCAGGCTCTGGGACCCGCTCTTTTCGTTCTAAGTCATCACCTAGAACTGTTTGACTCGTATCTGTGCATAACTGGTTAAAAAAAATAATCTTTTTACACAAAGCTGGTAAATCCAGTTTCTGGACCAAAGGGAAAATATCTTGGGCGTATTTCTGAAACTCAACAGTGGCCATATTAGGCCTCTGTGGGCCAGTGAGCGGGAGAAGACAGCCCTGTCTGGTGGCCCGTTCTGAAGGATCACAAGATTCCCGGACGGGCCAGTTTACTTTCCCCCCAACAGTGCTGGTATTGAACGGTTTTTAACACGACCCTTTCACAGCCTGGTCCCCTACACCACGGAGTGGACCGTATGCCGATGCTCGGCGTGGAGCCCAGAGCCTCCCCTCCGCCGTCCGCCCCAGCCCGGGCCTGACTTGGGGTCTGCACCGGAAGGCTGGTGGGAATAAACGTCCCTGGGGGCCCCTCCACCTTGTCAGGAGCCCGCCCACCCCTGCTGCCTACTTGGTGGCAAAAGACTGTGGCCCCAAGGGGCCTGCTCCCTCCCTCCTTCCCAGCCCCAGGAGCAGACCCGGGGAGCAGTGCCCGTGGCCGCAGGCGGTGGTCTTGGGGTAACTTTATGAGCTTCCCAGCTGGGTGGGGCCGCGGTGTAAGCAGCAGGGGTGGGCTCAGGAGCTCCCGCCTGCATGTCCCTGGCCGTCCCCGCCGTCACCTTCAGATGCTGCTCCTCTGGGGCCGTCCCCCGTGGAGCAGCGGGCCTTCCACCACAAGCCTCCCGTTGGCTGGCATGCTTCCCCCCGCCCCCATCCCCACATCCTCTGGCACAGAGCAGCCCGGGTGCCGCTGGACACAGTTCCCTTGTCGTCCACACCTTGTCTCTAAGAGGAAGGCTCCTACCTGCAACCCTGGGCCTGGGCAGGGAGGGGCCACGCTCAGCGGGGCTGTGGCAGGAAGCCCCTCGCACCGGGCACGGCCGGCAGGGGTCAGCACAGGTGGCTGCCGTGCCGACTGGACCAGACTCGGGCACGGCCACGCCTAGCTGCAGGGAAGCTGGCGTATGGGGTCTGTAGTCGGCCGCGGGCCCAGCTTAAAATGGCAGTGGGGGCGGCTAGTCCTAAGGAGAAAGAAAAATCAAACGTGAATGCTGACCGCCCCCCCGCCCCTCTTGAGGGCTCGCTTTCTGCTGGAACCCCCGAAGTGACAGACGTGCCTCGGACACTAGTGTCCCGGCGAGCGAGCCGATGGAGCTCCTCGGGCCCAAACCCGGAATCCGCCCCGCACGGCCAGCAGGCCCCTTCCTCCCACGGTCACTCCGGGCCGTGCCCAGCAGGCGTGGTTCGCCTGGTCTCTGGTGTCTCTCCCGGTGGGAGACAGAGGCCGCCTTCCGAGCTGCAGACCAGGAAGCACCGATCGCTCTCCTGTACCGCTTTGCAGCTACAGTGTGGGCACCTGACGAGCTTGGCGTCGGACGCACCACCCGGAGCCCCTGCAGGACCCGGGCCGGTGCGTGGGGTGGGGGCGGCCGAGTGCCTTCCGCCCCGTTCCTGGTGCGACCAGCTGTGGACTGGCAGCCAGCCTGAGCCGGGTCCTCTGGCTTCGGCACCGCCGGAGTCTGGGCTTCCT